TCACTCAAGCATGCTTGATCGCCTTGTCAAATGCAAAATACAATTTGCGAAAAAGCTTTTCCAAATAAAAGTTAAGTAGTATCTGTGTGCCATCTTTTGCACTACATTATATTTTTTTTATTCTTCTTCCTTCACTTTCAAAGCCTTTCTCGTAAGTGCTTGGATAATTTTGGCTATAATCTAAAGAGTTTGTGTATGAAAGGCATCTCTGCATAAAAATTATACTTATGTCAGCTGTAAGCCCTACTAGCTCACCGATATAAAGCATAGCAGGGTTGTGGCGCTAATTCGCGCGAGACTGTCAGTGTGGCCTGTCTATTTTTCCTTAGCTCTTCAAAAAGAAGCACAACCGTTTCTAAATAAATTCTTAAACACAATTTATACGGTGTGTAACTATAACAGGCTCGTTCGCTTAGAATCATACACAACCTGAAGGCGCAGATGAATGCTATTTATTGCCGAGGCACAGGCAGAATTTTTTTTCGGGGGCCAGGGGCACCACCTTGATATGAAATGGGTGACAGACAAGCAAGTGTGGTCGACTGTCACTTTTTGCTCGGTTAATAATAGCCGGAAAAAGTTTGGTGAGGGGGAGGGGAAGAATGGCACAGGCCCTGTGGGCCACCCCAGGATCATCCCACTGATTCATTGTAGGCACAGAATTATACAGTTGATAGGTACAGGGGCGGCCCTCATTTATCACTTATCACTAAATAGTATTCACTCGGCCCTCATCTAACTGCTTTAGCTAAAATCCGTGTATTCAGAGACGAATTTCCCGCTGTTTCGCATGCAGAGGTAGCAGACGACGCTCCTTCACCGATCCCAAAGTGACAATAGCATGGCCGCTGCACAGGATATGGGAGGAGGTTGCTCCTCGCCACTGTGATTGTGCGCGCTTACGCAACTGACAATATCTAAAAACGTTGCCGCTAGGCGCCACTGCCAATCTAACCATGATGATGATGATAGTGGTAAACGCTCGCAAGCAGCGACGCCGGACTCTCTGAGCCAAAGAGATAGAAGAAGGTATTTACAGAAACTCGGACCACCTACGAGGCTTCGGTACTCACTCGCTTTGATGTTGGCCTACAATCAACGTTCTCTAAGCTTTGCTTTCCCCAGGATGCAGAGCACATGGCTCTTCACAAGCAACTCAACAACGTTCCTTGAAAAAAAAAAAAGAAAGAAAACGACTTGCGAGCAGAAAGAAAAGCTCACCGTCAACGTGCCAACAAGTTCAAACACGCCACCACAACTATCTCTCGCCCCGCTGTTGTGGTCTAGTGGCTAAGGTACTCGGCTGCTGACGCGCAGGTCGCGGGTTCAAATCCCGGCTGCGGCGGCTGCATTTCCGATGGAGGCGGAAATGTTGTAGGACCGTGTGCTCAGATTTGGGTGGACGTTAAAGAACCCCATGTAGTCGAAATTTCCGGAGCTCTCCACTACGGCGTCTCTCATAATCTTATAGTGGTTTTGGGACGTTAAACCCCACATATCAATCAATCAATCAATCCACAACTCTCCTCGCTCTCAACAAAGCACACCGTCGACGCTATCAATAAGAGTCACCCCTAGGCCTACTCTACCCCATCTAAAGAAAATGGCTATTATGAACCGCAAAAACTGTCGTCCGATGCTCCAAAAGCCTCGTGTTGGGCAGCCAGTGTGGGGTCTAGCGAGTGAGGCACGCGCTCTCGAAGTGAACAGACACAGCAGACTCGGTCGGACCCAGCCAAACACACATTTATTCATTTATATTTAGAAAGACTATATTGCCAGCTGAACTATTACATCAGTTGTGATCAACGTGCTAAAACAACCTTACGCAGTATTCCACAACACCCAATAATATAGCAAACACAAACGAAGTAGTGCAAAGGCAGCGTCGCCAATGCTCGACTCGCCACAAGGGCCCACGGCAGATGACCTGCAGTGCCATCCACCGTGGACAATCATTCACGCCAACGCCACACGCCAAAGAGGACCGCTCATCTTTTATGTGCCGCCGCCCAGGCTTACCACCAGATGCCACTGCTGCGCTAACCATGATAATGACTGTGGTAAACGCTCGCGAGCGCAATGCCACCTACCGCTCGATAGTTGGGAACTCCAAATGAGGCTTATGCGCGAAGCATGTACACCTAGAGGTGTAAGCGACTTTACAGGGGATCTTAGAACTCTCACAAACATGACGTTCTATGTCACTGGAGTCAAATGTACTGATGAAAAGTCCACCCTCAAGGTGCTGTAACATTAGCTGCAGCTATTGTGGCTACTACAATGCACAGTGAAAGCTCATCAATTCAGATATAATGGGGTTGGAAAAGATGTCTGAATTAACTAAATTTTCCATTATCTAAAGTGTAAATAAAAGGTGTTACATCAATGCACTTTCACTTGAGTGTGTTAATCCTGCACTTGTTTTAAATAAGAGTAGTGTGGAAGCTGCAATTTTTGTTACCCTGTGGCTTTTTTCACAATGCTATCATGGTGCAAGACACATTTTTAAATTTGTCTGATATGGCATGTAAGACCCTACATAGATATATTTATTATTATTAATTAGTCTGAAGCATTATCTGCATCTTTCACTAATTACTACCGCTACCACCGTCACTGTGTACACATGGCAATATATCATCAGCCTGACTACGCCCATTGCGGGACAAAAACCTCTCCCATGTTCCGCCAGTCAACTCGGTCCTGTGCTTGCTGCTGCCACTTTATACCCGCATACTTGCTTATCTCATCTCTCCATCTAACTTTGTCTCCCCTCACCCGCTTGCCTTCTATGGGAATTCAGCTAGTTAATTTTAATGACAAATTGTTGTCCTGCCTATACCCATGTCCATTTCTTCTTGATCTCAACTATGATATCCTTAAACCGCGTTGCCCCACCGTGGTGGTCTAGTGGCTAAGGTACTCGGCGGCTGACCCGCAGGTCGCAGGATATAATCCCGGCTGCGGCGGCTGCATTTTGAATGGAGGCGAAAATGCTGTAGGTCCATGTGCTCAGATTTGGGTGCACGTTAAAGAACCCCAGGTGGTCGAAATTTCAGGAGCTACCCCCCTACTGAGTCTCTCATAATCATATGGTGGTTTTGGGATATTAAACACCACATATTAATCAATCAAACCTCAACCCCAGTTTGTTCCCTGTTCCACTCTGCTCTCTTCTTGTCTCTAAAGGTTACACTTACCTTTTTTTTTTTCATCGCTCGCTGCGTCATCCTCAATTTATGCTGAACCCTCTTGGTAAGCCTCCAGGTCTCTGCTCCATAGGTAAGTACTGGCAAGATGCAGCTGTTATATACCTTCCTTTTGAGGGATAGTGGCAGTCTACCAGTCATGATTTGAGAAAGCTTGCCATATAAGCTCCACCCCATTCTTATTCTTCTAATTACTTCAATCTCGTGGTTCGGCTCAGTGGATGCAGGCCGCAGAAAGCGTGCGCGACGTTCTCTGATGATAGCAGCCCATGCGCATTCTTAGATGAAGGTGGTAGCCTGCCGTCTGTCAAGTGGTACCCTGGAACCACTGAGGAGGCATGGACGCCGTCCGCAGTTGATTCGGTGGCTAGGTGCAGCAGCTGTCGGGTCATGAACTCTATGTTCGAGGAAGCATGAACCGCGTTCCTACGATGAGAGAACCACGCTGCCGATGATCCACAAGGGTACAGAGAGGTGGCTTGATTCACAGAGTTCACTTGTCGACCTGCGCTAACGGCAGAATCCATGGCCAAGGACACTTTGACGGCGTCTCTTGTTGTGAAATGGTACCGGTAACGTGTACTGGAGCTGCCGAGGAGGCCTTGAGGCCGTCCCCGAACGGTGGTGGCAGTGGCGGCAGGTGAAGAGCTGCCGAGGAGGCCTTGACGCCGTCCTCAAGCGGCGCTTACCGCGGCTGCACGTTGGCGGCTGTCCTGGATGACGAAGCCGGGACGTAAGACTTCCTCTTCGTCGGCTGCGCCATGGTAAAGGATGAGACTTGGAGACAACGCCCGTTCGCTGGGCCGGTTGTTCTTTATCTGACTTCGTTCTCCTTCTCCTTTAGCCGGGTGTGCGCCCATGCCCGAGTACTGCATTTGTCATCATTACAATATATATATATATATCACTGGTAATTGAAAGAACATGGCCTTTGCTACAGCTGCTTAATTAAGCCTTGTCGCCAACAACACATTTGTCAATGGCAACTATGCCTCTTCGACCGGCAGGAGATGTCCCACGTGGAGGTAAGTGCAAATTGGTGGTCAGCCTTTCTGAATGTTGCCGTGTGGTTTGCTGCGATGACCATGACAGTGAGGACCGCATTTTGGCTGTCGGCGAACATTGTTCTCGCTCTATTATCCCCTACACATTTGCAGCGTTTCACTCTTTAAATTGTCTGAATTACCCAGGTTGTGGCCCGTCATGACTGAATGATCGAGAGTTTTTCATTAAACAATGTGTATGATGGCTGCGATTGGAAAACGTGTGAATTATCCGATTTTTCTAATTAACGAGTGCTTACGTTGGCTCAAACCAAGCTGTGCTGTGCACAGCTATGTGTGACCACTGCATAAACGAAGCATGCTGCCATGAAATGTGGTGTCAAGTAAAACCAATCGGTGACAGCATAATCAGGTGGGCTCGTGTTCATATTGGAGTGCCAGTAAACGTAAAGAACAAAAACACAAAAGAAGCGCTTGTGGTTTATGTCTCGTACTGCGTCGTTTATTTGTGGTCAAAGTTTTATATGAAAACTAATCGGTGGTCATACCAGTTGCGAAATTCTCCTTAGGCCTCATGTTTCAGTGCTAATGGGGGTTCTGACGTGTCACCTGGGGGGAATGGGGGGAACAGTGAAGCAGCATTCATTTCGAACAGGTTGGAAACTGTTGTCCTCTCAGGCCCACTGGCAGCAGAATAGATCGTGCCTGCTTTGCGAAATGGGTGACACATGGCCCAGTGCAGACGCTTGCTGCTATAACACAAGCCCCTATTTTCTACACACAGAGCCGACCGCTACGAACCTGCTGGTGTGGAGCAAGTGCTGGCCTATGAGCCTCCCTGGCGGAAGCTGTGCTCCGAGGGCAGCACTGATGACCACCTCTGTGAGTTCTCTTCAGGGCAGCCCTGCCAAAAAAACTACACTGTTTTGCACCTTTATTGCACAGTTGGGGCTGGACATTCTCTCATGCAAAGGAAATAATCCTCTAAAGTTATCCAATCGAGGTGTGGTGCAAAGGTACAACCACTTCAAGTGCACATTTCTCAAAAATTGTTCAACAGTCTGCTCTTTTTTTCTTGATAATATAGCATGAATGGTTCATATACGGCTCATATCATAATGATATTAGTGATTAGTTATGCGAGGACAAAGTAATATTGAGGTTTGCTCAGTTGGCAGAGTGAGTGTCCCGGTAAGGCATTGGTTCTAGGTTTGATTCCTGTACCAGATTTGAACTTTTGGTTGTGTAAGATCTACATAGCTTTCCTTCACACTTCAAATGGTGGGTGTCAGTTTTCATTTTTTTAATCACAGTATGGTGGCTGTAATTTTTTTTTTTTTCATATATGTTCTACTGGTGCTGCTCACAAGTCTTCTGTAGATGTGCATGCCCTAGTTGAAGCAGCACCACTTTTCACCGGTGCTCATTCATACAAGATGCTGATGAGTGAAAAGGCATGTGTGATAATTATTTGAGTGCTTCGAATATCTGAGTAAATATTGCAATATTCGAATTTATAGAGAAAGAATTTACAGTAGACTCTCGTTAATTCAAACTCAAAGGGACCTCTGAATTTTGTTTGAATTATCAGAAGTTCTCAGATAGATTACACTGGGTGAGGTGACACCACACATCATGATTAAGCATTGATTTTATCATGTTTAAACATTTTTCAAGTGTTTTTAAACTCTAACTGCACACAATGAAGCGAAAGCAGAGGTGTAAGGTCCACAAGTTTATTGGCCATTTACTTTTAATCAGATTTTTTAAAGAAATCGTGAATCGCCAACTGCTTCTTTGTTATAGGTATGTCCTTTAAGGACAAAGCTCTCTATACCAGTTGAAAAGCATCACGATTTACCATTCGTGAGCTTTCTTTCAAACATTTCTTTACTAGAGAGGCCTGAGGTGCTTATTTCTCATTTTTAGATTGTTAGTATTATATAAGCATACACATTTTCAAACAGTAGGGGGAAATATATTTTCTGGTATAGAACTGCACAAAGTATGAATGAACTGCATGACAAAGTTTTAATTAAGAGGCTTTTAATTAAAAGTACATTGAAAGGATAGAGGGCCAAACAAAAAATTGCATTTTGTTTGAATTAACTAAAAATATGAATTATCAGTTTGACTTATCGTGAGCCTACTGTATAATGTTCAAAATTAAGAAGTATTTGAAATTAACAAATGGGCGTATATTATGCCACATGCAACTACCCATAAAGGTGGTCTGACTGCAGAGTGAAGGTGCTATGCCGTAAAAATGCGTATTCGAGGGATATTGGAATCCTCGTGAAGCCCCTCTTCAAGCAGAGCCTAGTGTTGGGCCTGTTGGTACATAGTGTCACATATGTGGGGCCGTGTTGCCTATGCAGGGCGCTTTACCGAATAGTTTTCCGCGGTATCTGTGTCTGTGTCCATGTGTCGTTCGCTTTTCGTTTTCAATGCCACGCGTGCGTGGTATGACCCCGACGACGTTCAGTTTTTTTTTATTATTGCAATATAACTATAGAACAGTATTGGCTGTTTTTTTTTTTTCCGCCATCGTCATTTTTCGCATGAAAGAAAAAAAAAGCCGCCCCCCGCGCTAGGCGCCCTGAAGCTCGTCACGATATGCGCTGACGCATGCTTATCTCCAACCTGTACTTTATTTAGGGGGTGTTGGTACTTTGCCCCACAAGTTGTGGGGTGGGTTGAAGCTTGTGTGCGCGCGTGCTTATCGTGCGGTAGGCAAAAACGCGTGCCTTCGACTTTGACCGGAAGGATTGCGTTTAGTTGCCAAGCGCATAAAGATCTCTTCGCTCGCTGGGCAGGCGTCATTTGTGAAAAGAGTGCACTTTTCAAACACAGCGCAGTAACAACTGGGGCACTTGTTAGTTCGCACTTATATCTGCACCTGTGATTACGTTTCATGCCTTGTTTTTGTTTGAACAGCGCGTTAGGTGTCAAGCAACAAACGTTATTAGTTCACTCTCGGCCTGTGTATGTTGTTTTCGTGCGTCATTCACGCGTGAGCCCCGCGCTGCTTGTTTCGATCTGCTTGCCATTCTCAGCGTTACATTCCATGGTGGTCTAGTGGCTCAGGTACTCGGCTGCTAATCCGCAGGTCGTGGGATCAAATCTTGGCTGGAGTGGCTGCATTTTTGATGGAGGCGGAAATGTTGTAGGCCCATGTACTCAGATTTGGGTGCACGTTAAAGAACCCCAGGTGGTCGAAATTTCCGGAGCCCTCCACTACGGCGTCTCTCATAATCATATTGTGGTTTTGGGATGCTAAACCCCACAAATCAAATCAATAAATGTTGCTCCGTAGCTAAGTACCAGGAAGCCCCGCCGCGGTGGTCTAGTGGCTAAGGCACTCGGCTGCTGACCCGTAGGTCGCGGGTTCGATTCCCGGCTGCGGCGGCTGCATTTCCGATGGAGGCGGAAATGTTGTAGGCCCGTGTACTCAGATTTGGGTGCACGTTAAAGAACCCCAGGTGGTCAAAATTTCCGGAGCCCTCCACTACGGCGTCTCTCATAATCAAATGGTGGTTTTGGGACGTTAAACCCCACAAATCAATCAATCAATCAGCTAAGTACCAGGAAGATGCAGCTGTTATATACCTTCTTCTTGAGGGATAGTGGCAATCTACACTTTCAAGATTTGAGAGTGCTTGCCAAATGTGCGCCACCTCATTCTTATTCTTCTAGCTACTTCAATGTTGCGGTTCGGCTCCGTGGTTATTACCTGTTTTAAGTAGACATAGTCTTTTACAACTTCTAGTGTACTATTACCTATCTCAAAGTGCTGTTCTCTTCCGAGGTTGTTGTACATTACTTTGGTTTTCCGTAGATTAATTTCAAGACCTACCTTTCTGCTCTCCTGGTCTAACTCGGTAATCATGAGTTGCAATTCGTCCCCTGAGTTATTCAGCAATGTAATGTCATCGGTGAAGCGCAGATTATTAAGGTACTCTCTGCTAACTTTTATGCTAACATTTATGAAACCTCTTATAAGCGCATGCTAAATAGCATTGCGGAGATTGTATTCCCCTGCCTTACACCCTTCTTGATTGGTATTCTGTTGCTTTCTTTGTGAAGCACTATGGTAGCCGCTGATCCTTTGTGAATTTATTCCAGGATATTTATATATGCTTCGTCGACGCCCTGATTCCGCAGTGTCTGCATGACTGCTGGTATTTCTACTGAATCGAACGCCTTCTCGTAATCTATGAAGGCTATGTATAGTGGTTGGCTGTATTTTGAGAATTTCTCTATTACCTGATTGATTGTATGAATGTGGTCGATTGTTGAATAGCCTGGTCGAAATCCTGCTTGTTTCTTTGGTTGATTGAATTCTAATGTTGTAATTCTGTTAGCAATTACCTTTGTAAATATCTTGTATACTACAGAGAGCAAGCTGATCGGCTTGTAATTTTTCAAGTCCTTGTCATCTCCTTTCTTATGTATTAAGATGATGTTAGCGTTCTTCCAAGACTCTGGTACCCTTCCCGTCAGGAGACACCTCGTAAACAGGGTGGCTAGTTTTTCTAACACAATCTGTCCTCCATCTTTCAGCAGGTCTGATGTTACCTGATCCTCACCAGCAGCTTTGTCTCTTTGCATGCTCTCCAAAGCACTTCTGACTTCTATCATTACTGGTGGGGTGTCATCAGGGTTACTGCTAGTTCTTATAGTAAGGTCGTGGTTGCCCTGGCTACTATACAGATCTTTATAGAACTCCTCCGCTATTTTAACTATCCTATCCATATTGGTATTTATTTTGCCTTCCTTGTCCCTTAGTGGATACATTTGATTTTGCATATTCAAAATTTCTTCTTCACTGCTTTGACGCTTCCTCTGTTCTTCAGAGAGTGTTCAATTCTATCCATGTTATACCTTCTTACATTGGATACCTTTTTGTTATTAGGTACTGTCTGACTATTATTATATTTCTTTGTTCAGTTCTGTGGTTGGAAATTGTAAAGCTCAGTTTAACGTACTTTGCAGGTTTCAGTGTTCTTTTGTTCATCGTACATCAGATACCGTAGTGCCATAACGAATAACTCAGGACAATAAGCAGACAAGACGTGTGCTCACTTTTTATTGTATATCATAAAGCTGAAAAAAGAAACAAAAGAAGGAAAATAAACATTTGATGGCTATGCCTAACAGTCAAGCTATAACCTAAATAACTGAACAAAACAAGCTGCACTGACATATTCGTTGTGCGCCCTAGCTATCTCCGACACCTCTACGATTTCTCTAGTTGCCTTGTCACAGTGACAGTACAGAACTACAGTCTATTCAAAGGATGATGTCACTGTGTCACATTTCTCGCAATTGGCAGCACTATACCCGGCGACAACTTTCTGTGGCAGCACTGCCAAGGCTACGGAGCCGAAGCACGCTTGTCTTACTGCGCCACAGCATGTAGTCCCTCAACGAAAACGTTTGTATACTGTTCTGGGTAACTAAGATTTTACCATTCGTCACTTACATTTTTCGCGGATTTATTTTTTAATTAGTGAATAAAAACGTTGCGCAGTAGAAAAGATTTCGTTTCACGCTCTCTCAGGTTTTTTGGGGGTTTTTTGGCTTCCGTCGCCTTTTTACCGCACCGCATTCCTCACTGTCAAAGATGGCATCCGCCGGTTACAGCTCGTCAACGTCGCTTACGGAGGAAACACCGCCGCGTGCCGCGAGTCCACCAGCTGCGCAGCCTTACCAGGCGTTGTCAAATCAAAAGCTGTCCGTACAGGCCAAGAAGGTGGCGTACAACGTTTACGCGCAAGTAAGGAAAAGCAGCGAAACGCGAGCAAACGCAGCGAAACGCGAGCAGCGAAACCTGCAGCGAAACGCGAGCAAACGTGAGCCGAAACGCGAGCAATTTTTAATAATTGTGACACGAGCCGAGTTTCGCTGCATTCGCCGCGCTTCGCTGCAGATGACATGCTTCATTTTTGTTGTTTATTCTTCCAGACCCATATACTACCTTGACGAAACCTGGGTCAACGCCGGACACACAAAGGATAAAGTATGCGCTGGTGAAATCGAAACCGAAACACCCGTCGAAGCGGTCGGACTACTTGGCGCAGTAGCACATGTGCATAGGCTCCGCCCACGTAGCCTTGGCCGTGCTGCCACAGAAAGTTGTCGCCGGGTATATATGTCTATATTCTGAATTTTATTGTTGGGCTCAAGCGTTGAGGCATCTGTCTCTCAAACCTACGTGAAGGAATTTTGTAAACCACACCTCTTGCGCCGAAGACAATCGTTTTTGTGTTTGATGTATGGTGAACTGTCAACACACCTAAATGTCCTCTCTTTTGAAGGGTCTTTTATACAGTTTTATGAACTGAATGAAAAGTTGCCATCCTGCAATCACTATATTTGATGCAGTAGTCTATCTAGATAGGCATCAGTGTCACGTGTGCCCCAAATGTCTGTTACAGGATGGTTGGTATTATTCAGATGAGTAGAGTAGTTTTCTATGAGAGCTGTAGTGGACAACACGAATCCCTCTTTGTGGTGCCTAGCCAGAATGTTATTCCTGTTGCGCTTATGCGTGCTCTATTTATGTAACATACAAACTAAATATTTCGTGGCTGTAGGCACAGGCATTGCCCAAACTGGCGATGCCTGTGCCGAGCAGCTTGGATGTAGGCTGTGCTGAATGGTTTTGGACCATGTTAACATTTAGTGTGATTTCTTTGGTAACATGCATAGTCCATCTGTGACCTGTCTTGAGAAACCTGTGCCATGGGCAGTAAAACTGGTCTGGACGTTTTGATGGATTTTTATGTGGCAAACCTAGTTGCGTGCCTCGTCTGTTTCTTCTCACTCAGTGAGCTTGCATTGCATTAGCCAGAATGGAGGGGATTTTCAAAGCTTTCATTGTGGCTGTTTTAATTCTGTTTTATAAGTGGGTGTGGTTTCACTTCCATTTCCTGACTTCTGCTGGCCACTGTTTGTACTTGATGCATTATTTGCAGTTTGTTTCACAGAAGAAGAAAAAAACAAGATGCGCAATCTTCCTCGCAAGGAATATATCCTTTTCTTGTCCTGTTGCAAAAGACGCATACCCTTTTGAAGTGATGCACCATGATGCGTGCAACGAACACAACTCAATGTGGGTGTGTAGAATCAGCTGTAAACAGACTAGAATGAACTTTTTAATCAAGGCATGGCTTCTGTTCCTAAGGCATTGTGATCATACAAAAGGCAGCTAGAAAATCTTTCACTAGGAACACACATTCCGATTCAAGGGCATTGCTTGCCACGAGGACATGAACAAATAATTACACATGCAGTGGGGCTGAGCAGCTTGAGAAAATGACAAGGCCCTGACACCCAGTTTTCAACGATAATCTTTGTGCAAATAAGCTGGCAAGAGTTTTGCGCATTTAGTCGACCTCTTAATTTATAATTGAATATTTGTATGAACATGCGAGCGGCCCGAGAGTCGGGGCAACGCTGACGCGCTTGCGACCTAACAAGCAGCCTGCTGTGTAAGTGTCCGGGGAACAATATTGTTCCGTGCTCACCTGAGCACGTGAAATCAAGGTATGTTAGCTTCCTTCAGCTTTGTATTGAAATTGAACAATTTGGTAGAAGACGACAGCTCCTCTTCATGCAACACGATCATCACGGATTCTGTGGCAAAATGGCGATCATCAGGGGTGGGCGGGGCTTATAGTTGACGACTTGTAGGGGTTTTGGATAATTCACAGCACAAGAAGGATGCAGACAAAGTACAAGGCAACACAGCGCTCATGTTGTCTTGTACTTCGCCTGCATCTTTCTTGCGCTGTAAGTTATCGAAAATGAACTATTACGAATTAGCCCAGATTTTGCTGCTTGTTCAGTTTATTTCTTGTAGGGCTTGTTTTGTGCTGTAGTATTCTTTTACAGTCCACTTTTCATGCATGTAGAGGCTTAAGTACCCTCTACTTGTAGTTCTTGCTGACAACCACTGATTGTTGGGTGACCATGTCATGGCCCCTTTAATGAAAAAAAGCTGGCTGTACAACTGTGTTTTTGCTCCCATCGGCTGTCTTGGCAGAAGAAAAATACACACCTCTGACAGCATAGCTCCAGATGGTTTCAGCACTCGATCTAATGCATAGGTGAGCAGCTTAGGAGCCAGATGACAATAATGTTAGTAGCATGCTCCTGTTGGGCTATTGCATTGCATCTTTCAATTGTTGTGTCATTCTTTGCGTAGACTGTAGCAGAACTAACAGCCGGGCAAGTGCGATTGAAGAACAATAAAGCGGAGCTGAATTTTGACAAACAGATCATTAACAGCAGGGCTTTCAGATGGGATGATGAAAAAGAAGAGGTCGTCGCAAGAATTGACAAACTAGAAAAAGAAAGAAATACCGATGTCGAGAACTTGTTGCAGTCATCATGAATCGCAGATGCGTAGCTAATGAAGTTGCTGAGCTCTCAGGCCTAATTGGAGGTTTTGATGCTTACATAGTCCTTGACACAGAATCTCGGTAAAAGCTATCTATTGCTGATAGGTAAGTGCTTTTGCAAAATTATGCTGTCTATCGCAAAGGTAGGCCCACAGCAGGTGGTGTGGGTTTTTTTTTTGCTTGTTTGTTCTTCCTTACAGTCATTGCAAATTGATTATAAGTGCGATGCACTGGTGTCTGTATAATGCAAGATAATTCTGTCTGATAACTTTGCATTTCTGGTCAGAGTGGTTTATCGCTCGCCAAGCTTAAATATTAGCGCAGTGCAAACATTATACAAAATTATTTGCAGAGCTTCAGCTAAGACGGTGATTCTCGAGGGTGATTTTAGTTTGCCTGGATTGTCTTGATACAATTGCTCCTGTATAAATTCGAGCAGGCGCATGAACCTCGCGATGACAAATATCGTTGGCAAATTTGGTTTGACGCAGTACGTTACCTTCCCTACTCGCAATGACACTGTGTTAGACTTGTTGTCTTGTAATACTCCAGATTTGAAATTTTGGTAAATAACACGTCTGTAATTCCGGGCATTGGTGACCATTCTGCTGTTGTTGCTTGTATTCGAAGGGAAAAAGTTTGTGCAAAGTTTCCTTCGAGTAGAAGGATCTACTTTTATGAGAAGGGTGACTACAATACTATTTCTAAAAAAAGCTCCATTCTTCTATCTTTGTTTTTATTGCCTCTGTGATTAGTGCAATGTGCATGATATGTGGGACAAATTTAAGACTATGTTATTCAAGTTAATAAGTACACATATCCCCTACGTTCATTATTCACGGCTAAGAAAGCACAAACAGCCATGGGTAACTACACATATATTGACGCTTAACAAAAGAAATTGGGTATTTAGTGTATTCAAGAATAACAAATCAATTGTGAAAAACTAAAGTAGATTGGCAACAAATATACGATAAAGATAGAAAAGGCTAAAGATTACTACTTTACTGAGCTGAGCAACAAATGAAATGAAATTTGTAGTGTACATTGGGTGCCAGTGTACACATATCCCGAAGGAGTACGGCCACTAGCATGGGTCTGGTCTTAGTGAGCAACAGGTCCGCGTTCACCACAGCTGCATATGTGCGTTCGGACAGCCAAGGTGCTGAACACAGCGTGGCAAGTTTACCAGTACTGCTCTCAAACAAGTAGCAACACTTTATTGCCTGCGGCAACACCAAGAACACAGTACAGTGCCCGTCGCAAGAGGGTGGCGGTTTCGAAAGCAAATGAGGCTTATCCACACCAGCGAAAGTAAAACACAAAGGGTGACGCAAGCATGTCTTCGTGGGCAAAAGGGCTCATGGCGACACGCCGCTGAGGTAAACGAGCCCTCGCAACTATGCTGCACGCCCTTACGATCAGAGACTACAGGGCCTGATCCTTTGAGCGAGGGCAAACTCCGGTCGCATTGGCTTCAAGAGGCGCGAGTCAGCGTAGCACGATCTTGCGTGAACACATCGCACCACTCTTCGGCTTAGTGTTTGGAAAGGGGCAATGAAGGGTAAGCGTTCACCGCGAGCGCAAGGCACCATTGGCAAGTCCGAGCCAGCTCCAAGAAAAAAGGGAGCCGGTGGATGGAAAGAAAAGGCGTGCTCATTCTTCAATGTCCAGAGGGAATCTTTCTTACTCCCGCCAGGGGTGCGCGCGAAAACATCTCGAGAGACTCGAGCTCAGCGCCATTGTCGACATCCAGTACGATCCAGTGCAGGATGAGAGGGGTTAACATCACTCCCGCTCTCCCAGCACCGCCGGACCACGGATAAGGGAAGAGTCATGTAAGGTCATGAGAATGGCAGAAATAGACGACAAAGCCCGTGCGATGGCGATGGTCTAGCTACAATTCCCACAAATTCTAAAATGTTTTGGAAGTACTTAAAACTGTGTAGCTCAGATTCCTCTGCAATACAGTAGTTAAATTATAATGGCTAGTTGATTAGGGATTATGGGCATATAGCTGCAGTGCCTAAGCAACTTTTTCCACTTGCTATTCTTGCCTAAACACAGCTCTAATTATCATCCCATGATTGTGCACATTTCTGCTGTTATTATGATTGAGCTTTGTATGAATATAACCTTGACCTTGTGCCCTGTACATCTGCTGGACAGGCAATTGGTGGTGTCCCTTGAGCTGGGCCTTGTGGACATCTTGTTTGCCTACGCCTACAACAAGCGAGTCACTGAGGGTGAAGACATGGTCAGTGCAATGGTGGCTTCCTGCAGGCCAGCACTTTTTCAAGTGTCGAAGGCCACACTATTTCTATAAGTGTTTGCTTTTCTCACAGAGGAAGCAAGCTTACAATTCACTTCCTAGTGATGCTGGTCTTTTTTGTTCAAAAACCATGTGAAAGTAAGTGTGGGGACATTTGTCAGTGTGGCGCCTGATTTGGTGAGCATTACCTTGCTTGCCTCTGGATTTGTTCCTTGGTCCACTTACCCTGTCATATTCTTACCCTGCACTCCCCACCAAAAAAAGAAAAGCATCCTGTGATTTCTCTTCTTACTCAGGTGGAGTCTGGTTGGAACATAAGCAAGCTCAGTGCAACGCTCGCTTGGTTTGAGGTAAACCGATTCATTGTTGTTAGTCTTACCTTGCATGCATCTATCTGGGTCTATCTTTGCTTGAATGTTGTGTTAGGTCTCGCAGTTTTAAAATTACAAAGAAAAATCAATTTTCTAATTATAGTATTTTTGTAACGTACAGATATTTCCCCAACTGCTGACCAAGTTTCCTACATCTTGGACCGATATTTCAGCTCCAACAGGTATTAATATCACCTGTACAAGCTATACTTTAGTAGAAAAGATAGCAACAAAAAATAAGCTGTTTTAATGACATGCTGCTTTTGAATCATATATGCTCTGACAGGGGTGATTACGTGTTATGTCTCTTGTGGCTACTAATCATCTAATAAAATTATTTTAACGTAGTCTGTTACATGTGGCTCAAAATGAGCTTTATCTGTTTTGATTGTCTCAAAACAGGCTTTTACTTACCCTGCTTGTTCTTTGATTGTCTCGAAACAGGCTTTTACTCGCCCTGCTTGTCTGGTGTAGCAATTTCTCAATATTGCCACAAGTTGTCTGGCACCTTCTGTACTCACAGGCCGGTTCCTGTTTTGTATATTTCGTCACACGCCAGGCAAGCAAAGCGTGTACTTAAACGCTAATGTACGTGTCACCATACCGCGTGCTGAAGAAGACTGGCAGCTCCTAGAATGACCGGCACGAGACAAAAAATGGTTGAAGAGGACGTCGACGAAGTTTGGACGAGGGAGCATAGGACTTTTTCGCAAGTTGAGTAGCTTAAGTTAAGGGGCACAGGTTCGCCCTAAATAAACAGTTGTTGTAACTGGCTACAATATGGAAGATAGCTACAGCTGTAACATATTTATTTTAATATGAACATTTTTTAGTCGCACGATGTCTTGCTTTGGCGTCGGCGTCATTCACACCCTCATGGCGTATGCTCGTGTCTCTTGTCAACTGTCGTTCCCCCTCTCTCACCTTGCAAGGCCGATGCAGGCAACGTCTGCTGGTAAAAAACCGACTGCTCACGCTGCACAATCGTTCACTGGTCACCTCGTGCATAGGTAGGCACTGAATCGCTTGTTCGGAATTCAGTCAAGGGTGTCTTTACTTGATGCTTTCCTTGGCTCGTGTATACATGCGATAAAAGCAACAGTACCTTCAACCAGTAGTGGGGCACAACCCAGCGACCGTGTCCCACCACTCGTTGAAAACAGCGCTTCTCCTTCATTTAATAACTAAGAATAATAAAGATGAAATAGCAATTACGTAACATTCACATGATACCCCCACCATTCTGCGGCGCATTTACTCGAGTTCCCTCCATGGGAAGATGCGGATGGCTTTTTGTTTTATGAAGGTTCATTTCGTCTAACTATAACAGGACCGCTAGCATAAGTTTAATGAAAGCTAGTATAGAATTACCACCTCTAGCTTTACAACGTAAAATCGCGTGCCTCTCTCTTTTTCATAGGATATATCACCACCCCTTTTTATGACACCAACTTCTTTCGGCATCGCCTTACATATAATCCCGCATTGATCACCAACACAAAGTTGGCATTCAATCTTGTAGGTCCTCCTCTTTTCTTCCCTCACTTGTGCCACACACAAGTGATGAGTGGAATCACCTTCCTCCAGATGTCACCATCAAGGATACTAACCAATTTGAAGTAGCTCTACGTGATATCTTTCTCTAAGTTTTCTTTTTCTTTTAAACTAGGCACCGCCATTTATACTTGTATCATGCGTGTATTTTCGTTGATACACCGAATTTTGACTTTCGTTTATACTTAACTATCTCGTATTTTGTTTCGTTTTTTTTTTTGCCACTATAATTTGTGTAACTACTTGTAATCTTTTTGAAATATACTTGGGAATTGTAGTGAGTTTTTGTAGTGAGTTTTTTTCTGTATTTTTTGTTCTTTTTTGTCTTGTGACCTTTTTCTGAACTATTTCCAATTTTTTGTATTTTTGCCCCACCCCCCTCTGTAATGCCATTGGCCCTGAGGGTATTCTAAATAAAAATAAATAAATGAAGCCTGAACTGCTGCAAGCAGATTGTTTTAAAAGCGATAGTCTTTCTTGGGGACCTTTTACAGAAAAATTTTAGTCTGTCTCTCTGTCTGTACATTTATCTATTTGTCTGCCCTAATGATATCTCAAACGGCACCAAACGGCCAACCCCATCCACAGCACGCACCAATATTGCTCAAGGTTTAACGTTTATAGTTGTGCGATTGTCAATTAAAAACACAAATATTGTGAATATCTGAGATGCCATAACAACATGTCTATGTTTTGTATGTCAGCCTTTATACTATAAGAGGCACACACAAGTAAATCTAAGGACTGTAGCGTTTAACGCACTGAGCTGAAAGTGCAACGCGATGCTTAAGAAGGTGTTTCCAACGCTTTGCTACGACAGCACGGTGGGGGCACCTGCCCGTCGCTTTACATTCTACATTTTATCACCTCCGAGACTGGCGCGCATCTTTCTCCGGGGTAGCGCACGCCTTCGTTTTCAAAGATAACTGCCAGATGGCGCTTGTGCCTAACGTGCCTAGATGCGCTTGTTAGTCTCCGCCACACGGATCGAGGCACTCTAACGCAGCGCCTTTAGAATACCATTCACCGATTTTCTTGCGCAGAACATCAAATAAACGTTTTGTTTGCTCTCTCCAGACGCAAAACTATGCCTTTGTTTTTGATCATTAGTATCTGTACTGCTGGTATCTATTAATGAGCAGTGGTCTAACAATATTCCGGCTGTCTCCAAAGTCCCTCAGTGGAGTGTATTAGGACAATTCTTGTTTCTGCTGTACATTAATGATATCGTTACTGTCATTGGTCCTATCATTGAAATTAGATTGTTTGCAGATGACTGCGTGTTGTTCCATGGAATCAGTTCACCTAACGATCAGCACTGCTAACATTTACGAATGGTGTAACACACGTGTTATGAAACATAATATTGATAAAACAGTCTGTCTTCGTTTCTCTCGCCGAAAAGCTCCCCTTTCCTTTGAATACAGGCTAGGCTCATTATCATTGCATGAGGAAACGGTATACAAGTACTTAGGCATAACTTTTACTGATAGCTTATTGTGGAATACACATATAAATAGTATTTGTTCTTCTGCATACTTCAAACTATATTTTTAAGACATAAGCTCCAACAGTCTCCTCCAGCTATAAAATTACTTGCTTTATAACACACTAATTACGCCAAAACTTGCATATGCATGTGTAGTGTGGAATCTATTTACTAAAACCAACATTACTCACCTAGAGAATGTGCAAAGAAAAGCAGTGTCGTTTATTTATTCCAAATTTTGTCCGTATGACTCACCCACTGAACTAATGCAGGCTAACAACATTCCATACCTTGCACTGAGACGGAAAGCTGCACGTTTAGAATTTCTTTACTTCCTTTGGAATCAGAAACTAGCAATTAACCCCTCGCCCTATCTTTCATCTTCTACATGAAGACTTACTCCCCATCATCATTCTAATTTTTTGACACTTTATTTTACGAGAACCGATTCATTCAAATTTTTTTTCCCGTCCACCGTAACGGAGTTGAATTATTCATTGTAGCATTTAATCACATTAGGAATATTGATAATTGTATTAACTATATTTGAGTTTGCTTTGTTTTGTTGTTTTCTCCGCTCTGCTTGGACCTGTATAAGGTCTGCAGTATTGAATAAAGAAAAAAAAAGAAAAAAATTCTGAGTTTCGATTGGCAGCTATATTGCAAATTGATATAAGATTTAAAAACTGCTTGCAGCATTTCAGTCCTTATTCGTTCTGCTTTTTACTCATGCATTAAGGATAACTTTTTCCCCTGTTTATTATTATCTGTTGTCTCACTGAACAGTAGTCACTTAATTTGTCAATGAATATTTTATTGCATAAATATATTATTGCACTTTTGAAATCAGCAGAGAAAAATACATGCATATTTGCACTTTTAAATCGAATCTTTCTAGAAAATGATCAACATGACCCCAGGTACCATTTCCCCCTCTAACCACTGGGGTCAAGTCTGAAAAGCAGCACTTTTGCTGAACACTTATTAGTATGGGCATCAATGCAACACATGCTGGGATTTGTGCATGTGGTGTATGCTGGGAAAAGCATCAGAGTGGGAAAAAAGAAGGCAGTTGATTGGGGCTTATTCTTTATACTAGACACAATTCAATAAAACGAGTAGGCAGTAAAGGTATAAAGACATTGCGTATATCTTTTTAACTGTAGTATATCAAGCATGACAAAATGGAAAGGAATTAAAGGGCTGCTGACACCCTTTTGCAAAGGCAAGTTTACTCTGTCATGCAGATCTCTGTTATACAGAGAAGCGAGTGTGAAGCTTAGCGAATGCTCATTTTATTTTGATGTCAAAGTGAATTTTTTATGGTGCACATGAACACCAGCATTATGTCAGCCTTCAATACTAATTCTGGTGACCCAAGAAGTACCTGCCTGGCTAGTTGTGATGGCGTCAAGTTTCCATAGCCAGGTACTGAACATTCAATACGACCACTTGTACGTCACCAAACTTCCAAAATGGCCACTGGTGCAGAGTGACCGTGGAAGTTCTGGAATATTTTTGTGCGAGCGAATTATGAGAATTCGATACTGGGTTGTCACATCGGGGTACACTGGGAACTGGAACAAGATATTAAAAACATGCTGTAATTAATTTTGTTGAGTGTTCTCACTCTTGGCAGTACATATTCAAGACTCTTGTGGCCTTTCATTTGATGCAAGAAAAGGACAGCTGATACGCTTTGTCTCGGTGCACCGTGGGTGAAAAAATCAACTTGCCGCATTTAGGGACTGTGCCTACAACCGTCAGATAGCGCGTCCAATGCTCTACCAATTGAGCTACATTGGCAGTCACTTTTCCATCCACTTTATTGAGTTTTGAGCTTCGTTCAGTCACTCTTCTCAAGATGAACTAAAGCTCAAAAAACACCCCAGAAGCGGCAGGCATCTCCCTGTGGAAAATGGGAATGGCTGCAGAATTTGTGCAGGGCTGCGGTTGTGTGGCTGAAATCCCTCTGTGTCCAATGCAAGCCCTCCCAACATTGCGCACATAAACATCTCATGAGCCAAGGCACCACCGCGTTGAAGGCACTGTGTTTTGCTAACAACCCACAGTGGGCTAAGGAAAAAAGAAAAGCATTATAAAAGCAGCTATGAATCCAATATTGCATGGGCAGATAAGCAGCTTTCGTGCCTTTTTTTTTTTTTTCAGCTGTTGACTTGCTTTTTGTGTCTGTGTTTGCAAACCATCTTTTAGTATGAATAGCTCATCTTTCTCTTATTCAAGAGAAAAACGAGTGCTCAGGGTCACGATGTGTGTGCTGATGTACAGACGTAGTTTCTTGACCTCTCTGACGTCCCCGCTCACACTCGATGAATTCGATATATTATCGTGGTAGTCTGTTTGTGAGGCAATAAACACCGATGGAGCCGCGAAGCCGAATCGCGAGATTGAAGTAACCAGAAGAATAAGAATGAGGTGGAGCACATTTGGCAAACATTCTCAAATCATGAATGCTAGATGGCCACTATCTCTCAAGAGGAATGTCTATAACGGCTGCATCTCGCCGGCACTTACCTACGAAGCATATATCTGGAGGATTACAAAAAGGGTTCAACTTATGTTGAGGACAACTCAGCGAGCACTGGAAAAGAAAATGATCGATGCAACCCTAAGGTACTAGAAGAGAGCAGAGTGTATCGGGGAACAAACGGCTGTTAAGGACATCATAGTCAAAATCAAAAAGAAATGGGCAGGGCACATAGCTCAAAAGCAAGATGACCACTGATAATCAAAGGTCACAGACTGGATTCCAAGAGAATGCAAGCAGGTGAAGGGAGACGGACAAAAATGTCACAGCATATCCGCGAAGTCAATGAGAGTGAGTGGGCGAAGCTGCGGGAGATCATCGGAGCATTCTTTCTTTCTTTCTTTCTTTCTTTCTTTCATGACCGTGAGAGAAAGAGAGCGAGCGCATTTTATAGCTCTTGGGGCGCTGCAGCGGGAGAAACAGCGTGCCTTGAGTGCACCCACTATCATCATTCTCTTCTTCCACCTATGATCGGTGCATGTGCAAGCCAGGACAACAGATATCAAAGGGACAAGGCTCAACCATATAGGTTAGCTGGGCAGATACATTAGCAAGCTTGTGGGGCGTAAAGTGGCAGTAGCAAGCACATGACTAAGTTGACTGCTGGAACATGGGAGAGGCCCTGTAATGGGCGTAATGAGGCTGATGACGATATTGATGATTACTTGGTAAAGTACTGCCGGGCCTCTTTGACACGCAGGAGTTCTGGTCCTTGGAGCAAACGGTTCGGAGTTGTTTTCGGCGGTGTCTCATCTATCCACTCTACCGCCACTGGGCTCTCGCTCAAGCCGTGCTTGGAGATGTCATTGAAATTATGCAACTGGGTGAGGAGACAACATTGCTGCTGTAAACGAGTGACTGGGAATGAATTTGCTTCCTAAGCTAAGATAGGACTGCATCGATAGTGTTGGGTGCACAGATAACAGCTTCATTTTCATAAGCTAGTACCTAATGCAGGCAAGTGTCGCACGGTGTGCAAGCACAGATGGCTTGTGCATTAGTGTATTATTTCTATGACCAATTTAACAGCAATCATTTGTCTTGAAAGGTAAAATCTTTCTCAAATTTAGTACTGCAGTAATGAGCACTTTTATTTGTGAACCTTTTTGCATATTGTTTATGCGGTACGGATTGAAAATGTCACTCGAGCATAGGTGCAGAGGACACCTCTGATTACCAAGAAATGAGTTGCGCTAATCGGTGGGTACCTTGCATGCAATTATGCCTCTTCAAGGTCCCCGGTATGTACTCAGGTGCCTTCTTGAAATCCATGGCATATTTGGCCACCACGACTCCAGGTATGTCCTGAATGACCTGTACATCACAGACTACGCAGTTTGGATACAGTCCATTAGGTGAGTTTTTTTGTGTTGCAAGCTTAATCTTTTGGAGAGTTTTTTTGTGTGGCAAGCTTAATCTTGTGCAAAACGAGTGGTCTGTTCTCGATGTCTGAATGATAAACAAAAGTAGGCGTGAAAGCTCAAGAGACAACAGGAACTATCGCCATCATAATCACCTGTACATTTACTGGATGACAGTATACTTTGCAAGTTTAAACATTTTTCAGCATCAAATAACCTACTGACCCTCAGAGAAGCTGTCATAGATGGTAGCCATTACAGAACTATATGACTGAGTTCCAGAATATGAATGTCCACATTGTATATCTAATTGTGTTGCTGCTGTTAAGGGAATCAACATGTAAAGGATAGGCAAAGTAAGGCTTCTGATCCTGTCCGGCCTTCGATAGAAAATTGAGACTCAATTTCAGAAAGGAAGGGCTTTTATTATTATCTTTTGCTTGGAGTGAGGTGCATTTGGCTGGTGCACATTTTGGGAAGAATGAAAGCTCTGTCTAAAAATCTGAGCGTGTCTTTTCTCAAGAAATCTGGTCGTCAGTTTCAGGGTTAATCGTTTTTAAAAGAAAGAATCCTAAAAGTCTTACCTACGATGTTGTGTACGTCATAGTGGCCTGCATTGTAAACAACTAAGAGGTCTTCCTTTAGTGCTGCACACTCGACCTTGTTATGTCGGGTGATAGCAAAACCATGCTTGATGACATCACTTTCAAGGTCTCTGCTGTTGCTACGCAGAAAACAGCTTTAATAACTAGATTAACTGATTTAATGCTGTAGGCTGACCTTGCCATTTGCTTTGGGTCCCACGGACCCGAGTTAATAAGGGAGTTTCTACTCCCTCCCACGCCTAGCCGTGCGTGGCTTTGCCGTGTCCGGGGAAAAGGGGATCCTGGGGGTTGAGCCGACGCTGGGTGATTGGACCTTTAAGGCCCCCCGGCAGGGGCAACACACCCCTTTGGCCCCGGCTTCACGTAGACAGCACCCCTGGGCTGACCCACCCAGGGGAAATCGGCAGTCGCCTTTTCCTATCTCTCTCTCCCTAAATCTTCGTCTTTATCTCTCACTATTTATCTGTCCTGTCTTCTACTCTCTTCTGCCTACTTCCAAGCTTCCTGGCGGCTAGGGTTAACCCTGTGCAAATAGCCTACCTTGGTCTAGGCGCATTGGGTTATAGTAGCGTTGGACGGCTGGCGTCTGCAGGTTTTAGCATCCGCAAACTTGTAGCGTCCCCTCGTTGGGCTCTGTGGTGGGTGGCCGCCAACGCTTCTGAAGAAAATTAAACTGGAATGCATAGAGCGTTTCCCTTGTTAAGTGATCGTACCACCTTAAAGCGCGTACGTGCCGAAGACTATGGCTTTTTCAATCGATCAAATGAAAAGTTTCCCCATTTTCATGTTATACATAGTGAGATAAGCAGCAAGCAAGCCAGAACTGTATCCCCCTTTGTAGTAGCCAGATGTCTCACAAAAACTCTTGGAGCCGGGTACGAAGTTACCAAAATGGCCAGCGGAGACCTCCTCCTTGAAGTTCGAGAAAAAGAACAGTTTAAAAAGCTACAGAATCTTTCAACTTTTGGTGACACTCCCATCACTGTAACGCCACACAGATCTATGAACACAACACGTGGAGTAGTATCTGATGCTGATTTGCTCGGCTTGACCGAAGAGGAACTTCTGGAGGGGCGGAAGAGTCAGAATGTGACCAATGTACAAAGAATCATCATTAGAAGAGACAACAAGGTAACACCAACGAAACACCTAATACTCACGTTCGCTTCCAGTAATCTGCCAGAAAGTATTCAAACAGGCTACACGAAGACGTCGATCAGACCATACATACCTAACCCACGTCGTTGTTTTAAATGCCAGAAGTATGGCCACGGCTCACAAAGCTGTCGTGGTCACCAAACTTGTGCACAATGTGGAGTGTCAGGCCACAATTCTGACAATTGCGAAGAACCATCACACTGTGTGAACTGTGGCGGAAATCATGCCGCATACTCTTGGTCTTGCTCATTTTGGAAAAAAGAAAAAGAAATTATCACATTGAAAATTAAAGAAAATATCACATTCAAAGAAGCAAAACGAAGAGTGTCGCCATTTTACGGCGCTACATATGCTGATGCGGCGCGTCAGGGGGCAACGCCGCACCAGCCCTCGCCACCCCTTCGGCCAGCGCAGAGCGAGCCGTCGGCTGTGGCGCCTGCCCCCAAGGCGGCAGTAGTTCAGTCTACTCCTAGCGAATTGAGGCCGGAGACTCCAGGGTCCTCTGGTCTCAAGGCCTCCCCTCACCAGGCGAGGCCTAAAATCCGAACCACCAGCTCGCATGTGCGGGCACCCAGTGCCTTTGAGGAGGCAATGGATACAACGGTTTCCTTGGTACCAAAAGTGCGGCGCCGCTCCTTGGAGCTCGCCAAGAAAAATAAGAAACTAATAACGGGGCCGGATGACCGTCTTGCCACCTGAATTAACGAGCTCACTGCAACACAGGACACTCTTTGTACACACAGCAGCATCTCTCTTGTTTAAATATGCAGACAGAAATATTACAGTGGAACATCCGAGGCCTTCTTCGAAACCTCGATGACTTGCAAGAACTCCTCCATGAACACAATCCTAGAGTGCTGTGTGTACAAGAGACATACTTGAAACGAACAAACACAAACTTTTTACGTAACTACGTAATCTTCCGAAAGGATAGAGATGATGCCAGGCCACCATCCGGTGGTGTAGTGGTTATAGTTAGTCAAGGTATAGCATGTACACAACTACCCCTTCAAACTTCCCTCGAGGCGGTGGCTGTCGAGCAGTTATTCTAAACAAACTCGTCACTGTCTGCTCTTTGTACATACCTCCGCACCACCGTCTTGAAAAACTTCAATTCCAGTCTTTAATAGACAAACTACCTGAACCTTATCTGGTTCTTGGGGACCTGAACGCACATAATGGTCTGTGGGGTGACTCTCGCTGTGATGCACGAGGTCATCTCATTGAACAATTCCTCATTTCATCAGGTGCTTGTCTGTTGAATAGGAAAGAGGCAACATACTATAACCTTGCCAACAAAACTTACTCTTCCATAGACCTCAGTATCGCATCTCCTTCACTTGTACCATTACTTCAGTGGAAAGTCATAAATAATCCATACGGAAGTGACCATTTTCCTTTAGTTTTGAGTACACCAATAATATAAGAATGTCCTATACATGTTCCGAAATGGCTGGTAAACAAAGCCGACTGGGAACAATTTCAAAAGCTTACTCACTTAAATTGGACTGACATATGCAGATTAGGCATAGATGAAGCTGTGCAGTACTTCACGGCTTTTCTTACTGACACAGCAGCCAAGTGCATTCCACAAACATCTGGACTGCCCGGCAAACGACACGTCCCGTGGTGGAACACTGAGTGTCAGAATGCGCGAAAGGAACAGAACAGGGCATGGAGGTTGCTTCGGAATTCACCAACAGACGAAAATCTTGACACCTTCAAGAAAATAAAGTCTCAAGGCAGGAGAACGCGTCGGCAGGCCAGAAGAGAAAGCTGGCAGAAGTTTTTGTCGGGGATCAATTCATACACACAGGAGGCTAAAGTCTGGAACATGGTCGGTAGGATAGCAGGAAAACAAGTACACACACTTCCACTCGTAAACACTCAGGGTGATACCTTGGAAGATCAGGCAAACTTCCTCGGTGCACACTTTGAACGGGTATCCAGCTCGTCCCACTATACTGACACTTTCCAAAAATACAGAACAAGAATAGAAAAGCAGAAACTAGAACACAAATCCACTAGATACGAGGCATATAACCAAGCCTTCAGTCTAGCTGAGCTCCGAACATCTCTAAACTCCTGCAGTACTTCTGCCCCAGGTTCTGACCGTGTGGTGTATGAAATGTTAAAGAACCTACCAGCCGAAACACGAAAAACCTTACTTTGTTTGTACAATGCTATCTGGTTTTCTGGCACTATTCCTACCTGCTGGAAAGAGGGTATTATTATTCCCATTTTGAAAGAGGGCAAGGACCCTTCTTTAGCTTCAAGCTATAGGCCTATTGCACTTACAAGCTGCTTGTGCAAAGTCTTCGAAAAAATGATAAACTGCCGACTTGTATATATCCTTGAAACAAACAATTTGCTTGACCCATTTCAGTGCGGGTTTCGAGAAAGTAGATCCACCACAAACCACCTTGTTCGTATCGAGGCACAGATCAGAGACGCCTTCGTCCATAAACAATATTTTCTCTCTGTGTTCCTCGATATCGAAAAGGCTTATGATACAACATGGCATTTTGGAATTCTAAGAGACCTGTCCCACCTTGGTGTGCGCGGAAGAATGTTTCACATAACCGAAAGTTACCTGTCAAACCGGACATTCCGTGTCCGTGTGGGCAGTGTTCTCTCCCAAACATTTGTCAAGGAAACAGGCGTGCCACAAGGTGGTGTACTTAGTTGCACACTTTTTATTATCAAGATGAATTCCTTGCACTTGTCCGTCCCCCGCAATATGTTCTATTGTACATATGTCGACGACGTTCAGCTTGGCTTCAGGTCATGCAACTTGGCAATGTGTGAGCGGCAGGTTCAGCTGGGTTTAAACAAGGTCTCCAAATGGGCAGATGAAAACGGATTTCGACTTAACCCACAAAAAAGCATGTGTGTCTTGTTCTCTCGAAAGAGAGACATGCACTCGGAGCCTGACATTGAACTGAACGGTCAACGTCTGTCTGTCAATGCGGAGCATAAATTCTTAGGCTTAATCTTGGACAACAAGTTGACCTTCGTACCACACATCAAGTATTTAAAAACAAAATGTTTAAAAGCCATGAATGTTTTAAAAGTGTTGTCACGTACATTGTGGGGTAGTGACAGGCAATGTCTCATGAACCTGTATAGAAGCCTCATTCACATCCACTTAGATAATGGGGCCGTTGTTTATCAGTCTGCGACTCAAAGTGCTTTGAAGATGCTGGACCCCGTGCACCATTTGGGCATCCG